CATATCACTCTCCTCACTTCTAGTGCCTTCCTTCTGAGATTACCTTCTATTTATACTGTATATATAAGTACATTTTTTTTTACCATCTTGTCCCCCTCATTAGAATGTAAGCTTATTGAGGTCAGGGACTGTGTTTTTATCTTTTTTATATCCCCAAAGCACAGTGCCTAATACACAGTAAGCCCGAGATAAATGCTTATTGACTGACTGCTTTAGGAATATCATAACTTTAGTTCATGGTTCACAGTCTTCCTCTCCACTTCCTACCCTCTTCCTACTGTTCCCAAGAGCGGTGGAAGGTGGGGTAGGGAGAGAAGGGAAAGGAAAGGCAGAAGAATCGAGGACTTCAATGTTTATGCTGATGAGACCCCATTAATAAGCTGACCATATTATTCCAAAGACTTTTCTGTATCTCTCCCATTTCACCCACATACCACCCAACATGGTCACCTCCAAAATCCAGAACTTTGAAATTCTGTACTACCTCAACATAAACATCTCTCCTTCTACATCTCCCACTCTCATTCAAAATAACCTTAGTCTTGACCTATATCCCTTTAATCCCTTTAGTCATCCCTGCTCTCTCAGTCCATCTCTCCTATTCTGCTTCCATTTGCCTCACTTGGCAGTCCTGACCACATGGTCTGCCACTTTCATGTCACACCACCAACTACTCTAGAATCCTCTGACTGCTTGACTTTCCCCTATTTTCAACTTAAGACTTGTCATCTTTACCACCAAATTTCTCAGCTCTTCACCCAAGGTTGTGTTGTTTTGTTGGAGAAAATGACAAAACTAAGTTAATTTCACTCGTTATATATTTAGGGTGAATAATCTTGCTGGGGTCCTTACTCGAGCTTGACAACCTTTCTGCTCTACTCTTCATTCCCAATTTCCCACAGCAACTATCTCAAACCTTTCCTCTCTTACCTTCAACAACCACACACTCACATTTAGAGCAGATAACCTACAAGCTTCACAGAGATAAAAACCACCTAGGCCCAGTTCATCCATTCTGACCACTATCTTTCCTCCTTTCCACTTATCACAGAAGAAAAGGTATCCTTACCCTCACCAAGGTTGATTCCCTCCTGCCTCCTCCAAAACCTTGTTCCAATAGTCATCCCCTTTCTCTCATGTATTTTTAATCTCTCCCCTGCTACTGCCAACAAACATGCTCAGGTCCCCTAAACCTAAAAAAGCTTTCCCTTGACCCTTGTACACCAACTAGCTACAATCCTATCTCTACAATTTCACTGTTAATCATCCTTAAAAAGTTGTTTGCAACTAAGACCTCTATTTTCTTACTACCTATTTTCTGAGAACAGTAATCATATCAACATGCTGGAAAAAATGTGTCAATAAATTGCTCTATAATTCCTATCACCATTCACTCTGACTTCCTCATCCAAAACACCTTTCCCTGACCACCACTCATATATGTCTAATCCTCCCCCACAATAATAGCTAGTGTTCTTGTAGTACTTTAAGGTTTGCAAAGAGTTTTACAAATATTATCTTATTTTTTATCTTCATAAGGAGACTGTGGGGCAGATACTATTATTATGCCTATTTTATAGATGATGAAACTGAGGCAGACAGAGGTTAAGTGAGTTGCAGAAGGTCACATGGTTATTAAGTATCTGAGGTTAGATTTGAAGTCAGATCTTCCTGATTCCTGGTCCAGTGCTCTATCCATTGTGCCACCTATCCCTCTATTAGAGTATAAGCTCCTAGAGAACAGAAAATGTCTTATTTACTTATGTTTATACCCTCTCCTCCCCACCCCCGCTCAACAGAGTGCCTGGCACACATTAAGAGCTTAAAAAATGCTTTCTCAGTTTTTTATTCATTAATTCTCTCTTCAAACTCTTCTAATCCGTATTCTATCCCCACTATTGTAACAGCAAAATCGCTCTATCAAAGGTCACCAATAACCTGCTAAATACCAAATAAATTTTTTTCCTCAGTTCTCATCTCTCTTAACCTCTCTGCTATCTCTTGACACTGTTTACCACCCCCTCCTACCACATACTCTTCTGCCATGACTTCAGAGACAGCATACTCTACTGATTCTTACAAATCACATCATCTTTCTGAGTCTCAGTTTCTTCATCTGCAAAATAGGGGTAAGCAATTTGTTACCTACTTCACAGAGTTGTCGTGAGCAAGCCCTCTGTAAACCTTAAATATCTATAAAAATCTGACATGTATTATTATTATTATTATTATTATTATTATTGTTCACATTTCCTCACTAAATGCTTGTTGACAGTCCTGAAAGCTCCCTATACCAGGGAAATCTCAGGCCCTATCCCTATCTTGATTATACTGCACCATAAATCTCATAGGATTTTTATGATGACCAAATGAAATAATATATATAAAGCATTCTGCAACATTTAAAGCCTACATCAATCAAAAGCATTTATTAAAGGCCTACTATGTGCCAGGCACTGAGCTGTGTACTAGGAATACAAAGGCAAAAACGAAAGACCCCTTCTCAAGAAGCTTACATTATTTAAAGGGAAACATGTACACGTATAAATTGTGATTTCACTGGCACAGGGAATTCCCAGATAGAGGAAACTTCTGCTCCCAATGCAGGCTGGCATCTTCTTTGCAACTTACAATTTTAGAGAACTGCACTGAGAAGTTTTTTGCCCTATGTCACAGAGCCAGTTAGTATCAGAAACATAACTTGAACCTAGATTATCCTGATTCCAAAGAATACTCTATCCACTAGGTACCACTGCCTCTAGTATGAGTATATATTAAATAAATACCAAGTAATCTGGGAACTGGAGACACTAGCAATTGGGGAAATCAGGAAATGTCTTATATAGGTTTGAGTTGAGCTTTGAAAAAAACTAGAGATTGTTAAAAATTGAGGAGGAAATACACTCCAAGCATGAGGGATGGCCTGTGTAAGGTCACAATGCTAGAGAATTAGGTATGAGTGTATTGGGATGGGCCATATAATGGGGCAATATACTGCCAACAACTCAATCTGTCAACTCCCCCTCCCAACATTCTCAAATACCATCATCAGTCTTACCCCATCTGTGCCACCCTTTTGTCCACACTCAGCAGCCCAACCAACTTACTTTTTCCAAGTCACTGAAATTTTTCAATGGGCTAGCACAAAGGAAATAAATATAGGTAGCTAGGGACAGGATCACTCCCCACCTAGCCTCCTTTAAAAAGAGCTTTCTCTCCTGCAGCAATGGCTCTCATCTTTAAGCCTGCTTTCCCTTTGTTCTTCCCTTGCTGTCCTACTCAGATGGATAAGGGATTTCAGGGCCATCAGAACATAGCTGGATTGCAGCAGAGAGGGTATGTGTTTCCTTGGATAAGATGTGAACTGGAACAAGGAGGTATGCCTTCAGTTGGATAAAATTATTAATTTCCCTCTCTTTCTGAGGACTTTTCCCCACATCTGGTAGTCAGATGGAAAGAGAAATGACGGGCTCATGAAGAGCACAGGCCTACTCAAGTAAGAAAAAAAAAAAACATTTGATAAATCCAGGCTAGCCTCTTGACATAACTGAAGCCCAGAAGGGATCCACATTCATTTAGGTTATCTACCCCCGCTTCACAGGAGGTAGAAGGCTGTTTCCTTAAAGATGGAAAGAGTTCTTCACTTTCAGAGTGACAGCACCCAGAAGTCTGAAGACCCTGTGGTAGGAAAGGGGCATGAAAACCCAGAAGTCTGCTGAGTCCAGCCCCCAAGGCCTGCAGCTGCCAGCATGAGGCTGGAACGAATGGGAGCTCAGGGTTTGGGTTACATTCTGAGCTGGCAGAGGTGTCTGGAGACAAGGCTTCCTCTAACTGACAGGACCTCAGGCAGCTCTCTCATCCCTTAAGGGCAAAAGAGCAGGATATTTTTCAGACACAGCAGCTTCTACAATTCCAAGAAGGGTAGAGGATCAAGGGTCTAAGGGTGTACCAGAACCCAAGTTGAAGATACTGCTCATTCAGTCTTCATTCTTTCAAACACAGGGATCAAGATGAAAAAGATGCCCTACCTCCTTGGGCCTGGTGATTTAAACACCTCCTTCTCTGAGCAACCAGAAACCAGGTCACCATGACCTCTGACCACTGCAGATCAATACACCAAACTAGGACCATGGGCAACAGGCTAGTCTCATTTACATAACAGCCACCCAATCCTTTCTTCTCTGACATTTCAGCCCCCTCCTCCATCCAAAACCCACCTTCTATAGATAGCCTTTCCCAATCCCCTTTAATTCTAGTGCTTCCCTTCTATTGATTATTTCCAATTTATCTTATATATAGCATGCTGTCTACCCCTTTAGACCAAGCTCTTGGAGGACAAAGATTGATTGTCTTTTGCCTTTCTTTGTATCCCCAGCACTTAGCACAGTGCCTGGCACAGAATATGTGCTTAATAAATGTTTACTGACTGCCTCCTTTACTCCTCAAACACACACCTTTCCCCTATGGGGGACTCTATCCGCCCTCTGCCTCCCTCTTGGCCTCCTCCACTATCAGGTTTCCTCCTCAAGTCTTCCCCCCTCCCCTTTCCAGCGTCCTCCAGTCCCCTGCCTCCACTTAGATACCTACCTCCTCAGGTTTCCGCCTGACCCCTCCCTTCACTCACCTCCCTCCCCAACCAGGCCACCCCAGCTTCTCCCTCCTCCCCCTCCAATTCTCCTCCTGCCCCTCCCCCAGGCCTCCTCTTCTGCCCTCCTCCTCCACTTCCTCCACGCCTCTTCCCGTCCTCCTCCGGCCTCCGCCTCCAGCCCCTACTCAGGGGCTCGGGCCCTTTCCCCATCCGGACCTACTCCCACTGGCCTCTCCCCTACCTCAGCTCCTCTCCCTCTGGCCCTACTTCCGCTCCCGATGGCCTCTCCTGCTCAGCTCTCTTCCCCAGGTCACCCTAACATACCGCGCCCTCGCCTGGCCTGACATCAACTCGTGCAGTGTGTCCGTCCGTCTGTCCGCCCGGCCGCTGCCACCGCCACCATGGGGGCGGGCCCGGCGCTCGGTCCTCGCCATGGCAACACCACACTTCCGGTCCGGGCAGCCACTGTCCGGAACTCGCAGCAGGCAGCTCCTCCAGGTAGGGGGCGGGGCCAGGAGCACGAGGGGCGGGGTCATCCAACGCGTGAAGGGATGGGGCGGGGCGGGGGCGGGGCGGGGGCGGGGCCAAGAGAGAGGGTAGGAGGGAAAGAGGAGGGAGGAGGAGGGAGGCTGGGAGGTGTCTGGAGTTGGTAAGATCCTCATCATAGGCTTTGCAGAAGATTGAGAGATGCGAGGCACATTGGTGGTAATGGAGTCCAACCCTCTCGTTTTACGGATAGGGAAGCTGAGGCCCAAAGAGTTAAAGAATAAGCTCCAGGTTGAACAGGTCTTAAGGGTCTGAGGCAGGGTCTTCCAGAAACAGCACATACAAAAGGTCTCAGCTGCAAGTTAGATGGAAAAGTCCTATGCTCCTAGAAGCTGTCCGCTATAGTCATCTAAACTTATCTTCTATTCCGGGCAAAACCATGGAGCAGGTTTTATTTTGTTTTGTTTTTGGGGGAGGGCGCTGGAGCAATCGGGGTTAAGTGACTTGCCCAGGGTCACACTGCTAGTAAGCGTCAGAGGTCGAATTTGAACTCAGGTTCCCCTCACTCCAGGTCCAGTGCTCTATCCACTGCACCACCTAGCTGCCCCTGGAGCAGCTTTTATTTTCTTTAAAGAGTTCAAATCCAGTCAACCAACTAACATTTGTTAAGCAATTACTGTGTGCCAGGCACTGTGCCAAGCATCAGAGATACAAAGAAAGGCAGAAAAAGAAAAAGTCCCTGCCCTAAAGGAGCTCACAGTCTAATGGGGGGGGCGGGGAGAGAAACGTGCAAACGGGTATGGAGAACTGGGAAAGTTTTCTTGAAGATGAGACATTAGTTGAGACTTGGAGGAAACCAGGGAAGCTAGAAAGCTGAAATGAGGAGGGAGAGAGAGTGTGTGTTTCAGGAATAGGAGACAGCCAATTAAAATGCTTGTAGTAAAGAGATGTAAGACTGGGAAGGCAAGAAGGGGCCAGGTTAAGAAGGGCATCAAAAGCCAAATAGAGGATGTTGTATTTGATTCTGGAAGTAACAGAGGGCCAATGGAGTTTATTGAATGGAAAGGAGTGGGGGAGGTGAGATGGTCAGATATTCAATTTGGGAAGATCAATTCAACAACTAAGTGGAGGATGGATTTAGAGTGGGAAGAGAGTTGGGGCAAGGAGGTCAAACAGAAGACTACTGCAATACACCATATGTGAAATGATAAGGAACCATCATCACCAGGGTGTACCAGGGTGGTTGCAGTGTTGTTACAAAGATAGAAATAACAGGATTTGACAACTGATTAGATATGGGAGATGAAAGAGAACCAGGAGTGGAGGATGACACCTAGGTTGTGAGGCCAAGTGGCTGAAGGATGGTGGTACTCTCAGAGTAATAGGGAAATTAAGAAAAGGAGAGGTGGGGGTGGGGGTTGGGGACTTTTGGACATTTGGGAGTTTAAGATGTCTACCTATTTGACAACATCTCCCATGTTAATCTTATTGATAAAGTGAAGAAATGTGAGCCTGGTTATGTTACCATTAGGTGCATTTATATTCTGTTGAATCACCTAGAGTGGCCATTAATGGCTCTTATCAGCTTGGAAGGAATTTTCTAATGAAGTTGGCTCAAGGGCCTGTCCTTGGCCCTGAGCTGTTCAAAATTTTTATTAATGATTTGGAAAAAGACATAGAAGTCATATTTGTCAAATTTGTACATACTGGATGACCTACTCAGAATCCTAAAATCCTAGTAGCATGAAACATTGAGCTAAATCTGTTTTCTGTAAATTACCTAAACATATGTATCCTCCTAAAATTCCTTGCTAAGATAGGAGTTTCAGAAAGTATTTGCATTACAGTGCTATTACACTGTATTTGAATTACCAGGCTACTCACAAAGAATGAAAGTATACTATATAGAGTTAAAACTTTATGAAGGAATAAAGTAATATCTGGAGCCAGATTATCAGAATTTACCTAGAAGTAAAAAGCCATCTGGAAGGGTAGGAATAGCTATAGAAGCTGATAGGCTAAATGCTTCTCAATACTTGCTGTTGAGCCAGGACTTCCTGCCCCACAGTAGAATCACAGAACTTTCTGTTCATGTCATTTTGTGACTATGTCGCTTCTTCCCATTGTCTATGGCATAAGGAATTTTACAAACCTTAAAGCACTATATAAATGTTGGCTATTATCATTATCTTTGTCATGTCAACAAGTATTTATTAAATCCTTCTATGTGCCAAGACCAGGAATTCTCTGTGTGTCTGTAGGGGTACTATTAGGCACCAGTGTTCTAGAGATGCAATATCCATATTGCTCATATCAACCTCTGAGTATGTAATGTGTATCACAAAGTATACAATATAATGTTACATATTGCAAAGTTGTATTATAAATACAAAAATATCAATACGTAACTATTCAACCATGCAAAAGTTATCTGACAGGATCATAGACTCAAAGAGCTAGAAAGGTTCTTAGACGCCATCAAACCCAATCCCCTAATTTTAATAGATTAAGAAACTGAGAATCAAAGTGACTTTCCTAAAGTCACCAGCTAGTAAGCAACAGGGACAAGATTCAAATTCAGGTCTTCCTGACTCCAGGTCTGCTGCTCTATCCATGTCCCTAGATGTCTTCAAACAAAGGCTATTTGTCCACTTAAAGAATGTTATAGGGGCAGCTAGGTGGTGCAGTAAATAAAGCCCTGAAGTCAGAAGGACCTGAGTTCAAATCCAGCCTCAGACACTTGACATTAGCCACTTAACCCCGATTGCCTCACCACTCCCCCCCCCAAAAAAATAATGTTACATAAGGAATTATTTTCTCTGCTATGAATTGGGCTAGATAGCCCTTTCAACTCTGATAGTCTATGGTTCTGTAAATGCATTGAAGGGGTGAGTAGGTGGGGGAAGCCATAATCATGATTACCCAAAAGACCCCTGCCCTGAACCTGGGAAAGCAAAAGAGTTAAGTGGGACCACACCCACATATTAGAGTAGGGATGGTTTCGGAGAAGATGAAAGGATGGTAAATTTGGGACTGGAGGGATCAGAGGGATTGGAGAGGTCACACGGAACTACATGAATGGCGTGGTCTGAAAGGTATGCAAGAAGTTATGGATGGAGTTGTGATTCGAGAATGGCAAAGATAGAAGTTTGGGATGATAAGTAAAAACTAAAAGTAAAAAAGGCCCTCTCCTGGGAGAGAGACAGGGCCTCTTTTTTCCAGTCCACATTTTTTACCTCTGATGAGGTAGTCCCAGGAGGACTGATCTTCCCTTAGTCCACACTTCTACCCTGGCCTCTGCTGTGGAGATTGGATCTTTATCATGACCCCACCTCTAGCTATCTGATAATTCCATGATAACTTTATTAGCCTATGTGAGACATGGTCCTGATTCACATGGACTGTCTCTACTCTGATATTCAGAAACTTACTAAAAGCTACTAGGGGCAGTGTGGCATGATGAATTGAGAGCTGACCTCAAAGCCAGGAAGTCCTAGGCTTCTAGACCTGCCTCTGGCACATACTGACTGAGTGACCCTAGGCAAATCATCTAACCTCTCAATGCTCTAGGGCAATTCTAGAGAGATAACCTGCAGAAGAGGTGTTGATCTGCATTGGTAGAAGGAGTTTCTTCAACTGAGAGTTCCCTGTGCCAATAAAATTATAGATCTAGTACCTCTTCCTATGAAAAATTATTAATCAACATCAAACGCCATAAAATTATTTTACAGTCAGCTCCACGCCAAGCCAGGAAATCCTAGCATTATGGACAGAGCTCTAATTCTCTGACCTAATTTTGTTCTATGATATACCAAGCTAGCCACTGGCATTTTCAATTACCCTCCTCCTTACATACAATTAATACAAAGGTATGAATCACAAAGAAGTTAAGATATATCATTTTTATATGAAACAAAGCTAGGTAATAGAAATAGCTTAAAGAAATAAGAGGAGATGAAGCACCTGCCAGCAACAGACCCCAGAAAGGAAGCTGGAGGAGTTAAGACTTTTGTAACAGAGAAGAACTAGTATCCTAAGTATTCAGATGCTCTCTCAAAGCATTGTTGAATCCCTATTTCAAGGTTTGTGCTCCCCGTGTGCCTCCCCTACCCCAGCCAAAAGTTCTCTCTCTTCTCTCCCATAATTAGAAGAAAGGCACCCTCTCATCTATGGGATGGGCACAGGTATGGACATAAAGGTAAGTACACTTTAGGAGACACATGCAGTTTCTACTTCCTCTATGTCCCAAGATGCCAAGACTAAAATGGAGGGAGAGTTGGTACATGATTTTTGGTTTGCAGATGATTCAGTGCAGCCTCTGAAACTCAGATGCAACAGAGTATGGATTGATTCTCTGTTCTTTGTGCTCATTTTGGCCTAACAACACCAAGAAAAGAAGTGGTCCAACCAACCACCACCACACCACCCATACGTGGAACCATCAATTACAGCAAACAGTTTTGAATACTGTGGATAAGTTCACTTACCTTGGCAGTATACTTTCCAGGGATGTACACATTGATAATGAGGTTGATGCACCCATTGCCAGAGCTAGCTCAGTGTTTGGGAGGCTCCAAAGGAAAATGTGGGAGAGAAAAGGTATTTGACTGATTACCAAACTGACAGTCTACAGAGCCATTGTACTGACCTCATTGCGGTATGCCTGTGAAACCTGGACGGTATACCAGTGCCATGCCAGGAAACTGAATCTCTTCCATTTGAATTGTCTTAGGAAGATTCTGAAGGATAGGGTACCAGACACTGAAGTCCTTTCTCAAACTAAACTGCCAAGCATTCGAACTCCACTGCATGAGAGCTCAACTCCAATGGGCTAGCCATGCTGTTCAGATGCCAAACATATGCTTGCCAAAAAGACGATTTTATGGAGAACTCACATGAGGCAAACACTCGAATGGTGGTCAGAAGAAGTGCTACAAGGACACTGTAAAGGTCTCTCTGAAGAACTTTGAAATCAGAGACACTGGCACAGAATCACCCAGCATGGTGTGCCTGCATCAAAGAAGATGCTGTGATCTATGAGCAAAGCAGAATTGAAGTAGCTCAAAAGGAACTCAAGATGCACTAATTTAGAGAATCCACCCCACATGTTCACCTGGATTATTTGTGACCAACCTGTGATAGAGCCTTCTGAGCTTGTATTGGTCTGATCAGCCACAGTTAGGCACACTGTAATTCGACTCAAACATAGTGCTGTCATTTTGGTCCTCTTTGATTTCAAAGGATTACAACCAACCAACCGACTATAGCATGTTTGTACCTTTCTTATGCTTTAAAAGGTAGGAAGTTCCAGATTTTGGGAAAGAAGGGGCACATTATGGAGGCTCAAAGAATTTAAAAGTCCTTAAGAACAAAGTGTTTGTTAAGACCCTCAAGACCACTGGACTTTGCATACAGTAGGTGCTTAATGTTTGTTGAATCGATTATCCTTTGCTTGACCTTGCAACAAGTTCAATTCAACAACCATTTATTAAGTGTCTATGGTATGCAGATATGAAGTTTTGATAAAACATGCTCCCTGCTCATGAGGAATTTAGAGTCTAGTAGGGAATTAAGAAATAACTCTTCTTTCTTTTCTCTCTAGGCTGGTTGGTTCACCCACACCTGAATTTGTGTTGGCAGGTCAGGAAATCTTACCACCTTCAGGTAGTAAGACATGATTCCCACAAAGACCAACATCTTCTTGAGTAATTTGCTTTCAAAGCCTTGATCAGAGTGAATCAGATGGGGAAGTCATTGACTGAGAAAAATTCTTCCCACAGCACTTTGTTACAGTAGTAATTTTCTGATTTCTCATTGAGTATACCTGGCAAAATTATCAGTCTGTTGAATGAATTGGTTGACTAGCCAATGCTAATAAGCCAGCATGAATCAGAAATAGATTTTACTGCAGCTTATTCACATATAAGTGTCACACTCCACTAATAATTGATGGAAATATGTGTCATTCACAATTCAGCTGGTAGTATTTATACATTACATGAGACAAAGAAAAAAGATTACTACTGGTTATAGTGTGGCTAGTTATGCAAAGAAAAAAAGTATGCTCGTTAAGGAGAATGTATATCCTTAGCTACAGGAGACTGAGAAAGGGTTTGTCCTTGTTAGTATAGCTAGTTACACCAAATCAGACATCACCTATCAGGCTAAATAGAAGAGGGGAACGCTCCTTTTTTTTTTTGTACCAGTTGGGAGAGGAAATCAGACAATGAAGGGAACCAGCTCATGTAGCTGAACCCGCAGTTCATACAGGAGTCATACACAGCAAAATGAATACAGAACAAAGAGGAGTCAGTTGTATCCTTCCAAAAATCTGGTTTCAGTAGTCACTGCTATTAGTTACCTTCCAAAAATAAAAAAGTTGATACACAAAGGCTCCAATAGTTTGCTGGTGCTTATATTTTCTGAGTATGTAGTAAAAGTTGGCAAAATTTTTTCTTTGGAAACATTGAGTAGAAGCTATATCCAGGCTCACATACTTACTAGCTGTATAACCCTGGGCAAGTCACTTAACTTTGTTTGTCTTAAGTCCTCATCTGTAAAATGAGCTGGAGAAGGGAATTGCAAACCACTCCAGTATGTTTGCCAAAAAAATAAATAAATAAAATAAAATGGAGTCATGAAAAGTTGGACACAACTAAAACAACTCAACAACAATAAAATGTTCATTATATATAGCTTTTGACATTTGGGGCCAGTAAAATCTATCTTTCAGTTGTTTAACCTAGATATCTAAAATTACTATGCAAGACCTTTATGGAGATTTATGGGGCAGCATCAACTGCTTCCTGGTACCATATGTAAGATCAGTCACAGTCCAATATGATACTCCATCGGACAGTTCCACTTCCTTTATCATCTTAACATTAAGGGAACTTCCAGATTATGAAATTTGATTTGGAGGGATGGGGGCAAGGAAGAACACCTCATTTTATGGTTTATACTAGTTCTCATATTCCATCATCATCCTTTTTTTTCTCATGGACAAGTCAGCTAAGGAAAATGGAAGTATAGAAGATTTGCTATAGGGACAATGAAATTCTAGTATGCTTCTACCTTCAGGTGGAAGTCCCAAGCTCTCAGTTGAACTTATGTTTGATTACAAATTAGTTCCCTGGGACTCACAGATAGTTCTCACTCCTTCTGTGGGTACCAACATAATTGAAATGTCATGAGACCCATACGACAGGATATCTGCATCCATATTGGGATTCTTCTCTGTTCTAAGCACAGTTTTGAGTTTTATAAGGTTGTGACTGCTTTACTCCTAGAAATGTGTTTTTCAATTCTTTTTCCTGAATGGGAAACAATCTAAGCTTCAGCATTCTTGGGTTGCTGATTCAGTATAATGGTTTCTTTGCAAATTCCTTTTGGCATCTCTTTTGTATAATGCTAACATCTTTGTAGCCCTTAAGGTTTACTACTTTACAAGCAAGGGGAAAGGCACAAAAACTGTCGGTGAGAAGGAATGAAGCAATGTCCAAAATGATTAGATATTTTTAAGTACAACTCCCACATAATAACATCCACTTTTTTAAAATGGAGAGAAAGTCCCAGACAAAGTCAACAAAGACTATCCATCATGATGAATTTATTCAAGATGACAATGTAAGGAACCAAGCAATTATTTAGTATTATACGTCAAACCAAGATCAAATTCAAGTCAGTACACATCTTGGGAATAATCTGCCACTGTCACCATTAGTCAGGGTAGGCTCTCAGACTCATAAATAAATTGTGTTGATGTGCTGCTTGCTGCATTTGAAAATAAAGTGTGTAAACTCAAAGTTAATCTTTGTTTGGAAATTAAAAGTGCCATATTATCTGCTATATTTCTTAGCATCATTAATTTTTTTATGTACTACATAATAAGCTGGTTTCCCAAAAATCTGCAACTTTATAAAAAGTTGAAGTAACATGGGAATAAACATTTGGAATTTTTCAATACTTAGATTTAATTTTATTTTAAATTCTTATTGTCTCTCATTTTTTAAAAGTGAAATAATATGCTTTTTAGATAGATAAATACATAAGCAGTTTGAAAAGAAAATCCATTGGAGCAGCTGAAACAAGAATAAGAGACAATAGAGATAGTTTTAGTAGCAGAAATACAGAAATACAAACTAAAAAAGCCCAAATCCATCATATGTCATCCACTATACTAATCATTGTGATTCACCAATACTATTATTAATGGAAAGACCTAAGTATCCATTGCATACTTTCTTTTTTTTTAAATTTTTTTAACATTTGGTTTTAAAACATTGAGTTCCAAATTCTTTCCCTTTCTCCCTTTCCACACTCCCTATAGGTTGTATATGTGTAGTCATGCAGAACATATCCATAATAGTCATGTTGTGAAAGAAAACATAAACAACAACAAAAAAAAACCCTCAAGAAAAATAAAGAAAGTGAAAAAACAACAACAAACTGCTTCAATCTGTGTTCAGACACCATCACTTCTTTCTCTAGGGGTGGATAACATTTTTCATTCTAAGTCATTCAGAGTGATCATGGATCATTGTATTATTGAGAGTACCTAAGTCATTCACAACTGATCATCTTACAATAGTGCTGTTACTTTGTACCCAGTACATTTCACTTTGCATCAACCCATGGAAGTCTTTCTAGGTTTTTTTTGAGAGCATTCTGCTCATCATTTCTTATAGTACAATAGTATTCCATCATAATTTCATACCACAACTTACTCAGCCATTCCCCAATTGATGTGTATCCCCTTAGTTTCTAATTCTTTACCCCCAGAAAAGATCTGCTATAAATATTTTTGTACACCTTTTCCTTTTTTTTTTTTATCTCTTTTGGGATACAGATCTAGTAGTGGCATTGCTATGTCAAAGGATATCATTGCATATTTTCACTGAAGATAGTATAAAACATAATAAATTGAAAGGACAGCTTGTAAGTGTATATGAAATATGCTGTCAGACTTAGTTGATATGATAGTACGTTTTCCTAAATTGCTTTTATTTTTCTGGTTCTTTTTAATTCTTTGTTACAAAGTGTGGTGGCTTTCTAGAGAAGGAAGGTATAAGAGATACGTTTGGAAATGAAGGTGATATAAAACAAAAGATAGCAATAAATGTTTTTTTAAAAAGTAAACAAGTTGGGAAAACAAGATAATTTTTCCAAAGAAAATTAGATAAGCTAACGTGGTATCTGTGTTAGTGTAGTGAAGGGGATATATAAAAGAGATTTTTGGAGGTAGAACTGATAAGGCTTGACAATTAACTGCTTGTGAAGTGAAGAGTGAGGGAGAGTTAAGACTCAAGGATGACTCCAGGATTGAGAATCTCTGTGATTGGGAACATGGTGGCACCCTCAACAGACATAGGGGAATTAGGAAAAGGTAAGGTTTAGGGGTGTGTGGGAGGGAGAAAACAATGAGTTCTATTTCTAACATTTTGAATTTGAGATAGTTACAAGACATTCATTTAGGGATATACAGTAGATAGGCAGTTGGTGTTACAGTAATGAAATCCTGGAGATTGATGTTGCTTACATAGATCTCTGCATAAAGGTGATAGTTGAATCCATAAGATCAGATTGAGATCACAGAAACTGGAAGAGAGAGAATTGGGCTCAGGACACATCCTGAGAGGTATACTCACACAAAGATGATGATTCTGCAAAAGGTATTGAAAGGGAATGACTAGATAGGTAGGAAGAGAAGCCAAAGATAACAATGTTTAGAAACCAATGGGGTGGAGAGAGTGGGCTGGTAAACAATAGCAAATGCTACAGAGAATTCAAGAAGATAAAAACTGAGAAAAAGTTATCAGATTTGGCAAATAATAGGTCACTGTTAACCTTGGATAGTGCAATTTCAGTTGAATCAGAAACCAGATTGCAAGGGGCTGAGAAGTGAGAAAATAGAAGCAATCAAGATAGCGTATTTTTAGGAGTTTGTGAAAGGAAAGAAAGATAGAGAATGATTCATTAAGAAGATGGTGAGGGGGCAGCTAGGTGGCGCAGTGGATAGACACCGGCCCTGAAGTCAGGAGTACCTTAGTTCAAATCCGGTCTCAGACCAAACACTTGACACTTACTAGCTGTGTGACCCTGGGCAAGTCACTTAACCCTAATTGCCTAAAAAAAAAAAAGAAGAAGAAGATGGTGAGATCAGAGGAAGGTTATAAATGGTACTGTGCAAAGAATTTCCCATATGTTGGAAGACCTTTGCACTTTAATTGAGAAACTAAAATCTTACCTTTCATTGCAAGTGGATAAAGCAACAGATATAGTTATAGATGCTAATTTTATTATGTGCACAATATGTTGTTGAAACTGATGGTAGGAAAGGTTTAATATAGCAAATGGTGTTTCTAATGTCTCCCAAAAGTCAAGTGGGAGAAATAAATCAGTAAGACAACAGGGAAAGTAAAAGATGTGTGTAGAAGTACATTTCCCAACGTCCTCAACTTTCTCTTTCTTTTACCTTTGGAGAGATTTCTGGTCCACCATTTCATGCCATTCTTTCCTTGCTACTAGCAGGACAGGCCACTGCTTGACCAACTCCTGTAACCCATTTGTTGCTTATTAGCACTTCCCCTCCAGCCCTAGTTAGGCAGAGCAAAGATGAGCAGGAACAAAACCTGGAGGCCTATGTGGTGAAGGCAGAGACCTGG